TAAATTGCCAAAAAAATATAGATGTCATGGGTAAATTGAAATTGAGTAAAATACAAAACGGTAAGATATATTTCTGTGCAGCATTTCTTTAAATTTCAGTTAATGTGTAATGATTAGTAAGATTTTTGTTCTGTATTATTATTATTATTATTATTGATATATTTTATTTTATTTTCTACAGCTCAGACCACCAATACCTACAGACTTGGTAGCCAAAGGAAACCACTTTACGCACGGCCACCAGGGCTGTCTGCATCATCCTCTTCCATAACACCTCCTATCATTCCTTTCAGCAACCTCTCTCTTCCTACCTCAATAACTTATCCAGTAGCACCTTGTGTTGCAATGGAAGTACCACAGACAACAGCAACGGCCACACTGACCCCTACACCCTTGCAGTACCAGTCCCCAGTGAATGCTGAGAACCAGGCTCCGCCCTCAGTGGTTCCGCCATCGTTTACTAATCTGGTAACAAGCTTATTTCAAAGTCTTCAGGTTGGGTTGCACCCTTAGCAGACAAAATATTAATATTCATTTTAATGAGGATCTGCTTAATAGTATAGTACAACAAACTTTTGATTGTCATGGGAGCGTTTCCTTTCAACTCGCTCTTTATGTCGATAAAGTAAGAGTGAAAATTTTTGTTGCAAAATTGGAATAGAGAGAATTTTCGAGTGTGTTCTCAGCAGTTGGTCCTAATGGTTTATTTGATGCACGTAGAAATTATTGTTAACAAACCATATTATGTAGAGGCATAAACTTCATTGTTCGCAAATCTAATAAACAGCACAGATGTTGGGCTCCATAGAGCTATAAACTGAATCATTAGGTGGATAGAAGGAACGTATTTGATTTTCAGCCATTGGACATATTACTTTTCCCAACTAACTCATTAAAATACATTTAGACCTCACTAATTCGGACTAATTGGGAGCGAACCCTTGCCAAAATTAATGAAAGTCCAGAAGATATAAATGCTACTGAAAATATAGTAACGTGGATGGACACAGTGTTGCTAGGTAACTGACCGCGAAACACCTCGCGGCCGAATACACGTGAGGCAACAATGGGAGTGCGGCGTTTTCTATGGTTCCGTGCCGCGACCGTCAGTCGCAATGTGACTTTGACTTGACAAACGAGTGAGTTGAAGAAAGCAGTCTTCTGGGATTTGGCACCGTGTATATGTNCGCCATGAAGATGTATGGGGAAGTGGATATATAGATCCATATATTCTTGACCTCAGCACTAGTTAGAGGTGAGTGGTTGGCTTCACGTGCTGGCTGCTTTATCATTGAGGAAAAGACCCCTGATATCCATTGTCTAGGAGACTGGGTGGGCCCCAAGACCAATCTGCATGGCATCAAGTGGAGAAACATCTTGCCTCTTTTAGGATTCCAACCCCTCAGCCATCCTGTAGCCAGTTGCTGCATTGATTGTGCTGTCCCAGCTTCTCAGAGCTATATAATGTGAATGGAGATTAATTTTGTCATTGAGTTAAATGTTTTATTATCTGTATTTGTAAGTTTATTGAAGTTATACAGGCATAAGTAAATTACAGCATTTTTATGCTGTCTGATTTTTCATATCTGCCGAAAGAGATGGCTGATTTGATGATAAATTAGCAACATTTGTTTCCAAATAAAGTAATGCAATTCAGTGTATCACATGTATCATTGACTAAGACGTGGGTTTGGATTAGTGAATCGGTTTATTGGATATTCACTAGTCATAACTACAATTAGTTCTTACACTCTCAGCATAACTGTAATAATAGCACATAAAGTCTTCAATGTCTGTTAACCCTTCACATCAGAATCCTCACAACTCCCTTTGGTGACAGTTTCATGTCCTTGACTCATGGCATCTCAGCTGTGACTGACTGCAAACGACTTTCACTATCCCCTATAAACCTTTGGCATTGACCCCATAGAAAACGCCTATTATTGTAGACATATTTATAGTTCTGTTGCTTAGCACTGGTTATGGCGTGAACCACATTGAAAACAAGTCACATGATAGCTATCTCGCCAATCCATTGGCGTACTGATTGTTGCTTAGCAATGAGATATAAACATTCGTCCTAATGTTGTGTGACCTAGCAATGGACTGTTTACCAAGAATCTATCTTCACTGGGGCTTGTTTACCAACCCATTGCCTTGTAACAATATAAAAAGCTTACTTGATTTGATTTGCACCTTTTGTAATGTAGAGGTAGTGTATGTTCAGTAACCCTAAAATTAATTTTTTATGACAGTGTTTAGTGTCGACACACACAACCATATTCCACCAAAATCTGATGTAGTTTATGAGATGAGAAATGAGAATAGAACCCAATTTTGTGCACATAATAATTTGAATGAAAGAATACTTTCTGTTGATCATCACAAAATTATTTACTTCATTTTCACATACTTGGAAACTTATGTAAGGAACTAGGCCCACAGGGACATATTTAATATTTTTTTAATACTAGAAAGTGGAATAGAAGCTAGTGATTTGCTGTCCTGGTGAATGGTTGACTGACGGAATGTTTTAAACATGCCTCTTCTTCTTCTTCATGTGGGCATTATTCTGGAGCCATTCTTGCAACATTATAAGCACATAGCAGGTTCCATGGTCTCTATAATACACTGGGGCATGAGGATATGACATTTGTCTTAGGGCTGGTATGGGAGACCGGGTGAAAATCTCGGGGGGGGAGGGGCATTTTAAGAAACAGCAAGAATACACATTAGTTATCTCACTTTTAATTAATTAATTATTTATTCTTCGAAGATTTTTAAGGAGACTTCATGTCACCTCGTTGAGTACAATGGACACTGCTGCAGTACAGTTTGGACTCTTCCAATGATCTCTGTTGTGTGAATTGAACATGTAGAGTCAACATACTTATTCACTACACTGCAATGAATATTAAAATCGTCAGTACACTCTAAAATAGCATTATTTGTGGGAACACTACCATGTCTCAGAACAAGCAACTCACAACAAAAATGATTGGGGAACCTTGGTTCATAGGATTAACATTGAAAACGTTGTTTGATTTCATATAATTCATAAGTATCTTCATGCACATTATCCACATTTTAAAATGTTGGATAATGTTGTAACGTTTATACAAGGGGGTCTATATCAAATGCTGCAACCATCATTTGCTAGGCAGCGTTTTGATAAACACCGCCTGAAAGCCACAATAGCAATGAACAAGCAGAAGTCCGTTTGCTAGGCAATGGCTCACTAAAATTCATTCTCATGTAAACACAGATCCCACAAAGGTTTCCGTGGATGCTATCACCAGGGATCTTGGGATCACCAGATGTTTCTGCTACGACAGATACAGGAGACCAATAACTTGGTTCAGTCTTCCTGACCTTATAAAAGAGGGTTCATTCATTCATAATAGAATTCAGAAGACAGTTCAGTAGTTGAATATTCAGCTGTAAAGTGTTAACTGGGTAAGGTTCATTACCGAGCAACGTCTAGCAAGCAGCCATTGAAGACTTTATTTTGTATCGTATAGTTACAGTAATCTATAGAGTGTTACCATTCAGCGTATAACCTTTTGCGTGTTACTCTGTGTTCACTCTGTCGTTCGGCATTTAACTTTATTCGTGTTGGTACATTATTACAGTCATCTTCTTCTGACCGCTTCCTTTTCCTGTACGCTCAATATGTACAGCAGGACTCTTACAAGTGGACATCTTACCAATGTGTGACATCATATGCTGGCAGCTTGCCTATAGTATTGCATCATCCACCAAACAGTGGACTTGTATTAGCCTTATTTGTTACAAAGAAATGGTAACTGCTAAACCATAAGCGATGGACCAAAATGGGCTGCATTTTTGAGATGCTCACATTTATGAACACATTTCACTTGCAATATGTCCAGATCCATATACATGCTTCACTAAGCACGTTTCCAAGGTAACGAAGTCTACAATAGACTTTGATTTCTTAGTAGCGAAGGTATCAGTAATCACAAATTGTTACATTTCTGTTACTTACAGCTTCATTTCATTTGCACCCTCATATAATAACGTTTTCAACGTTAAAACACCTTTGTGTTTGCGCAGTTGATTTAGTTTCAAAAAGAGTTCTTGCTGGAACATGCATTGATTCACATGGCTTCTAAAATGCATACATAGTTGGAACAACTGCTATACCAATCAGTCACTCATAGTAAAAGTAGTAGCATGAAATACCTTATATCCTCATCCCCCATTTTGTATATAGAATTGTTTTAAAATAATTTTTCATGGAATTTCTTTATTAAAACCATCACAACACAACAGAATGCATGAAATAAAAAATTTTCATGGAATTACTTTGGTGAAATGCCTGTGCTTTTAAGTATATTTGAAAAATGTTTCTGTGGGCATTGGTGTGTTGTGTGGGACCTGATCCTAGGAAGCTAGGTATTTTTACAGAGGTTGACTATCTGTTTCAGGCTCAGGGAGCAATGTATCGACCCGTGTATCACCACTGGTTCTTCAGGAAGGAAGTTGAAACCAAGGTTTTATGGCAGCCATTTAGCATGGTGGATTCTCTTGCTCTAGAAGAAGCATTCATTTCCAGTAAGTACTAGGTTTTCATTAATGATGCCGCCATACCAGAATAAGCCCAACAGAAGTTCCCCAGATAAATGTAGCACAGAACCTGATTAGTTGTGCATCCTTCTTCCTATTAATAACAGCTACAAATATTTCTCTTGGCTAATAAATCTTGTCGCATGTTGGGCATATGTCATGCGACAAGTAACTCCACGCCATCTTGGATATAGTGAATTTATTGAACACTCGCTCTCACAATTACACAATTTACAGTTTCACAAGTACTGCCATTTGCAATATCACAATTGTGTCTTCTGCTGTAGTCACTTCCATTCACTCCGGCAAATGCTGGACTGCAACTGCACTCGGAAACTTCACGATCCACACTGTGTCACTCCTGATCACACACTCTGGTCACATACTGCTCAGCCGGCTTTTTATACCATTCCCCATTTCCTCGTGTTACCAGCTTTGTCCCCTGTTATGTCACCATGGGGGAGGGTGGCGGAGCGTTGACTGGCTTGTTACCGTAGCAGTGGCAGCGCTCCGATGCTGTTATGTCACCACTAGTGGGGGTGGAGGTGTCCTGCATAGCGCAGATATGTCACACTATTATTACTTTGCTTGTCTTTACAATAAACTGTGCAAGATGGTGTCCATCTGCTGCAGTCAAGCTTCACAGCTCATTAAGACATTTCCAAATCCTCAACAGAGCTCTTGTTGCAAAATGTTCGAAGTGTGGATTGTTGATGTAAACTTTGTCTTTCAGCATGCCCCACAGGTAAGAATCACATGGTCACATTTTTAGAGTAACTGCTGTTGTGTGTTCAGATTCTGACAACATGCCACATTTGCAGCGAATCCTTGTTCTTTCTTCTGAAGACTGTTCGTTGATTTCAACACACAATTGAAACCCAGGTTTGATCACTTGTTACTCACATGATGTGGTCAAGAAATTCATCGCCATTTTTGTGGTATCACTCTAAAAAAATCAAAGCTGAAGCCATTCTCTACATTTTGTGTGCACCTTTGAGGATTTCTGGAACCCATCTTGCTGCAAGATTCTTGTGAAAAACTTATGATAGCCTAGCCTAACTGTGATAGACTTGTAGAGAACAGTGCGTCAAATTTGTGGAAATTCACATGGGAGTCTATAATTGTGAAGTGCCGTCTTTAATAAATTTTATGGTCAACACTTTGAGCGAGGTCATCACTCAATGCTGATGGCCTACCACTTCACTCTTCATCATGACCATTTGTTTGCCCACCTATCTTTGATCTTTCTACACCATTGTCTTACAATTACTTCACTCAGTACATTTTGGCTGTAAACAGTGCATAATACACAATGGATTTCCACAGCACTCTTGTTTTTAGCATGAAGAAAGCAGATAACGGTATAAATTTCACAGCTCACAGGATTATCAGTCACTGGACCCATCATACCTTACTCTGTGGAGACAAGAACAAACACAAGGTTACCAGTTATGTGATGGTTTACAAGGCAATGAATCATGTGATCCTACCTTGCATGTGCAAGCTCATCACCATTCCTACATTAGTTGCTTAAAATAAACAAAGGTTACTTTCTGAATAGCCATTGTAACATCAGGAAGTTCTGGGATGAACATATGGCAGCTGCTGTCCCATGGATGCTTCCATCTGTGTACAATGCCTGGCAGGAAGTATGAATGAATAATTCTACAAATTTCCAGTAATAACCATGTTATGAAGACATCCATGATATAGTGGAAGTATTGTACTAATACTTTTCTTGGCACCATATGAAGGGAAGCAAATTCTGAGGACTAATGGTTTCCTAAAGAACTAAAAGTATGTAGGTATTATACATATTCTGTCTAGAAAACCGAAATTAACGGTCATATGGATTCATTGAGCTGACCATGCGACACCCTCTAACCGCTAAAGTTGGCACTAATTTCGCTGACAAGCAGCGGTCGCTTGCTAAGTCGGTATATTTCGCTTGTAGACTAAAGCCACGGAATTTGTTGGTCTTTTTTGGTGGGGGGGTATTATTCGTATTGAATTTTTCCTTTAACTTGTGGTATATTCTTATGGCAAACTAAAATTTTCTAATATAGACAGAGATGTACATGGTTTATGTAGTACAGGGTAGATACTCCAGTAATGGAAAATGATGAAATCAAATTGAATTGATGTGTACCATTATGTGCTTAGGGTCTAAAGTGATTATAAATTATTTTTTTTATTTTATAATTTTGTAATAATTTCTGTTTGCAGCTGAAATAGCCCCAGAAACACTGGTGCCAACAGATGGTGGACGGTATGATGTGAACATACTTCGACGGCAGAGATCATCTGTATATTGGCAGGAAAGTCCATCCGAAGTTCGACGCTGTTCCTGGTTCTATAAGGGGTCAACTGACACTCGCTATGTTCCATATGAAGAGAATGTATCTACCAGATTGGAAGAAGAGTTTAAGATAGCAACAACAAGCAATGTCTGGCATCGAATTGTTGAATTGCCCAATAAGGAAACAGTAGTCTTCCATGGACCTAATGTTATGGTCCATTACCTGCAAGCCACATCACCAGATGCATGGGGGAATACACCTGTGAGTTTATATTAGCGTCACTGAACTTCATGATATTAGATCCTAATTGTCTGAGGATCAGAACTTGGATTTCAGACTGCCTGGAATGAGATTCTTCTGTATGTCTTTTCATTCCCCTGTCAGTTTAAAATGTGGCAAATTTCAGGCACTTGGAAGCGACTGTAACAAATCAAAATGTTATCATTCATTTCAAACATTTATGTCATCCTGTGTTTGTATTTAAATGTCCTGGTGCTCTGTGTATGGCAGCCATTTGAATTCACATTGACATCAGTTTCTTGGCATATATTCTTGTCTTTGCTAATTTTTACTTGTGACAATATAAAATGTAAAGGCTAGGTTATTTGAAAGTGGCCATGAATTTCTTACCACATTGTTGCCCAGAATGGATGTCATCTTGTCTCAGAAGTCAGACTTCATATTCCAATGTAAGAGGTTAAGTTAAGGGGAATATTTTGGGTTGAACATGTAGTATTGCTGAGGGATATTTCATATTCATACAGCGTTTTAGAACAGTAGAGGTGATATGCGAGGTATAGGCTTGGATGGGCAAATAATATAAGAATGGATTGTAGAGAAATAAGATGTGAGGGTGTGGACTTGTTTCAACAGACTATGTATAAGGTAAGTGGTGGATTTTGTGGATATATCAGTGAACCTGATATGTCCATAAGAGCTGAGAACTTCTAAATGGCTGACTTTGTTATTGTAGGAAATGCTTTATCCCCACCATTGCATTGACATGGGGCAACACCCACTGGTAGCCCCTTAAGTGTTCTGATCTCTAGTGGTCTGCTGTGCACCCACAGTGTTCCTTGGGCTCTTTAAGAGCCTTGACCTTAGCTGGAGCTAACACTATCAAAATTGAGGCCCTCTTATTACCAAAGGGTTCTACCCATGCAGAACCAAGGTCACAGATCCATGCCCACCTAAGCTGGCCACTTATACAATGCCATTTTCTATTAAACTTCGGGCAGTGGAATATCTCAGACATCATCTGTCATTCTGCAACAGAGATATCAGAACCCCCACCAGTGATCATAGCTGGACCCATAACTGAGCCTCTGCCAAACCCTGTTTCACCCAGAAAAGGTCTATTCTTGACCAGTCTGTTCTGCCAGGCAAACTTTTCTTCCTGATGGAGAGACTATGCACCCTCCTCAAGAGACCTCATTCAGTGTTACCCTCACCAAGTCCTTAAAGCTGACTGCTGCTACATCTCAGCAGTAAGGTCCAACAAGTGAGTCCTGTGGTGCCAGATGAAGTTCATTTCTTTGGATATCTACATCCATGTACTGTCATTCAGTGACAGGTAGAGCTGACCCCTCAGTAATCGCCCAGCTGGACCTGCAACTGAGCTACAGCCAATACCTTGGTTTGTTAGAGAACAGCCTCCTCTACTGACCTGCTTTTCACTAGTCTATCTAATTCTTCTTCTTGATTATCAGGTTATTCACCCATATCAAGAGACCTCTTACAGTCTTGCCCTCAGTTAACCCTCACTAGAGCCCCTGAGGGATTTGGCTACTTCCACTTTACAGCAGCAAAGAGAAGAAGACCTGGCATGAGCCCAATGAAGCAGGGAGGTAAAGCCCCACAGCAGTGGTGGTGGATAGCATCCAGCAATCCTCTGCCCTATGACAGGGGCAGCAGAACCCCTATATGGCCCCAGCTAGACCCTTGACTGAGCACCAGCTGACTCACTCATGCCCATGAGGAGTCCTCTTGTAGCATCACTACCAGTGAACTTCTCACCAGAGTCCATGACAGATTTTGTCTGCCTCTTCGAAGCAGCAGAAGAGCAGAAAGCAAGCTGAGAAACCCCACTCAGAGCACTTATGGGAGGGACCTTCCAGCCACCCTTCTGCATGCTCCAGGGATACTAGAGCCCCCACTACTGGTGTCAGCAGCCAGACCCATAACTGAGTTCAGACTCGTTCCTTCACTTCCCCAAATAGTGGGGACAACTTATCCTAAGTTTTCTCTTTGAGGATTTCCAGTTATTCTTTCCATCATGAGATCTCTTTCAGCCACTCCTTCAGAGGACCCCTCACCAGAGCCCCTGAGAGATTTGGCCATTCCCATAAGAGCAGAAGATCCAACTGCTAAGCCCTCTGATTTGGGAAGACACCTCTATAACAACAGGAGACCACACTACTGGGCTGACTGATGCGGGGGAATTTTTCTTCTTCCATGACACTGACAAAGGGAAAGCTGTTTAGCCCAGAACTGAGGTCCAGCCAAGCCCTCAGTTCCTTAAAAGGAGCCTTCCTCTTCTTGGCCACTTCTGCTAGCCGGTGCAGTTCTCATCACAGGCCAGGTTGCTTGCCTCCACTGAAAGCATTACCCTCTGTGAACCTTATTAGAGCCCGTGATAAATTTTGCTGCTGTAAGAAAATCTGTCACCCAACACAAGAGTTCCACATGAAGGGGATGGCTAGCTTACAGTGGGATATCACCGTGTATTCCAAGGGCACCATTCACCACACTTCCCTCATTGCTATGCAGGACTTGGCATGGTAGCTCACACCCTGCCTAAGGGCACAACCACCCTTATTAAGCCAGACAAACCTGTCTGCCTCCAGGCAGGCCAGCCTGCTGCTTCCAGGGCCCACCACAAGGAGGCAGATGAGATGACTTGATGTTCAGTCCGCACCATAGTTGGAACCTTTATTTTTTTATTCTTTCTTACACACAGTAATCATTTCAATTTATGTCTATCCACTCTTTTGGTAGAAGTTTCAAAGTTGATTTTTAACCCAGTACAAATGAAATCCAATCTAAAGCTAACTTCATGTAGAGAATCAAGTTTATGATTGCCTTTATCTTTGGGATTCTGCGTTCAGTAGATATTACGAGGGTAAGTCAATAAGTAAGTTACAAAAGGATATAGAACTTAAACAGATAAGAGTACTGATTTGAAAAATGCTTTTATTTCTCAACCTAATCTCCCTCTAGATTGAGGCACTTGTCTCATCATTTCACAAGCCCCTGAAAGCCAGCAGCATAAAATTCTTTGGACTGCTGTCGGAACCAGGCATGGCCCACCTCATAATGCATGACAGGTTAGGTTTTCACAAATTGTGCACAATGGGTACCATGCATGCTGACCCCTCAACACAAAATGCAAAGAATGGGCCTGGCATTACAGCATCTGAATCGCTACCATGCTGAAGGACACAATATGCCAGCCCGAATTGTCACAGGTAATGAGTCTTGGATTCACCATTACCAGCCTGAGACAAAGCGTGCATCAATGCAGTAGAAACATCCTGCGTCGCCTGCTAAAAAAAAGTTAAAGGTGACACCATCCTCCAGGAAAGTGATGCTCACCATCTTCTGGGATCATGAAGCCATACTGCTCACCACATCCCAGCCTCAAGGACAAACTGTAAGTGCCGACTCCTACTGTAACATCCTCAGGAAACTTCGTAAGGCCATTCAACAGAAGTGTGCAACCTGTCATGCATTATGAGGTAGGCCATGCCATGTGAACACAGCTGGTTCTGACAGCAGCCCAAAGAATTTTATGCTGCTGGTTTTCTGGGGCTTGTGAAACGATGGGACAAGTGCCTCAGTGTACAGGGGGATTATGTTGAGAAATTAATGCATTTTTCAAATCAGTACTCTTATTTGTTAAGTTCTATATCCATTTGTAACTTACTTATTTACTTACCTACGTAGTAACATTTTCAGCAAGTTGTTCAGCCAGGGTAGAACCTTCAAATAGGCCATGATGATCTTCCAGATACTCATCATTCACAGTCATCTTCATACATCATTTGTCCTTTGCAATTGAAGCAGTTTCATTAAATGAATATAAGACTCTCCTGGAGCATGTTATTAAGAAAGCCAAACTTTTTATATTGTAATCAATTTTATGCTGAACCATGACAAATCCTTAGATTTGTTTTTTATTTCATTTGTAGCAAACACCATCAAGACCTCGTGTTGTAAAGCGTGGTGTAGATGAGTTTGATATTGATGAAGGGGAGCCAGTGAAGATTGATCACCTTTTATTCCTTGTCCATGGCATTGGTCCAGTGTGTGACCTAAAATTCAGAACTGTTGAAGAAGTTGGTGAGTTGGCCTTCAACAACTTTTTAATCTGTAACATGCTATTACACAACTTGACATATGAAGACTGTAGGACAGATGTTTATTTGTAGGATTTGAGGTTCTTACATTGGTGGTTATGAAGATTTCTGTCTTCTGGAATATAACACCATGGAGCGTGTTAAAAGTCAACTGACATTTTGGGACATATTGCCTCCATCTTCAAAGTTGAAGAAAAAACCAAGCAAGAAACCATGAAAGCAGATGGTAAGCATAATCATTGGTTTCTTATTTGGCTGGTTGACTCTGAAGATGGAGGCAATATGTTCTTCAGAAACGTTGGTTGACTTTCAGCAGGCTACATGGCATTATATCCCGGAAGATAGAACTGTTTAGATTTTTATTTGTATTACTGATGGGAGGAATTTATGATTTACGGTGTTGAGAAGGCTTCGTGACGTGATATTCTTACCAGGTTTCATGAAGATTAATATGGATATTCAAGCAATATTGAGGTTTTGCCTCAACAGTTTGAATGGCTGTAATGTTGGCATTACTGGTGGAAATAAATCATGAAGTGCACCATTAAGATGGGCTCAGGTGGCATGAAATGCATACCAAGTTTCATGAAGATTGGTACATATGAATATTAAGGTTTTGGCTCAGCAGTTTACAAGGCTGTAAGGTTGTTATTACTGATGATGAGAATTTATGAAGTGCGCCATTTAAATTGGCTTGAGTGGCATGATATACATACCAGTTACCATGATGATAGGTTTAGGCATTTAAGTAAATTTTGAGTTATTACCACAACAATTTGAGAGGCTTACAGAGTATGGCATTGAGGTGGCTTTGTGTAGTGTGATATATATCAAGTTTCATGAAGAATGATACAGGTGTTCAAGCAGTAATAAGGTTTTGCCTTAGAAATTTGAGAGGCTGTAATATTGGTATTGCTGATGAGAGATATTTGTGAATTATGCCATTGAAATGGGGTTAGGTGCCATGATATACATACAAGTTTAATAAAGATCGGTTCATGCATTCTAAAGTTAATAGTGGGGATACAGATACAGACACACACATGCACACAGACAAGCAGGTGATCTCATAGGCCTGCTTTTATTTTTTTCAGAATAAGGAACATAGGATAAAAGTAGTTCTGAATTCCAGCACATTATAAAAGGAATATTATGGAGCAGAGAGGTGCCAAAACAGCAGTTTATAAATTATATTTTAAAGCAGTTCTGTTTAAGTGCAGAGACATGAACTGTTGTGAAGAGAAACGAAAGCACAATTGAAGAAATATGAAAACCTCAAATCTTACAAGAAATATTAAGTTTTTTGGATGTAATGAGCAAGAAACAAAAAGAAATATTATTAGAAATGTAATTTTTATAAAATAAATTGAATTCTGCCATTCTTTAATAAAGTTGGAAGAGAAATGACTGCAGTGGATTGGCCAAGTAAAAGGAATGGATAGGACAGGGATAATAAGAAGGACATTAATAGTGCCGTATAAGTGTGGTGCGCGGGGATTCATATTTATAAGTTTTGATTTATCTTTGTGTTTTATGATGTTTTTACAATTGTTTATGTAATTCCTTGTAATTTGTTGTACTAAATGAAATGAAAATTAAAAAACTAATTTTAGTACATATTTGAGCATTGAAAGGAAGTAAATTAGAGGTGATTTTACATATTATTTTAATAATGGTAATTAGTTCATATTGGTATACTTGTGCATTTTATGCATCAGTAGTATTTCATATCTCATTTGCAGCTTAACTTCTAACTTCTTTCTTCTCATTTTCAAGTGAATATAACGGTCTTTATTTTAGTGGATGAGCTCCGAAGCATCGCTCTTCAGTTGGTGCGGTCCCATTTCCGTACAGCAATGGAACAAGGCAAGGTGAACCGCATTGAAGTATTGCCCATTTCATGGCATGCCACGCTTCATGGGGAAGACACTGGAATAGACCGCAAACTGAAGAGTATTACGCTCAGTAGCATCCCCAAACTACGCCATTTCACGAATGACACTTTGTTGGACATCCTCTTCTACACTAGTCCAGTGTATTGCCAGGTGATAATTTGGCCTAATTTTTGTACTTTTGTTGCATTTTATTTTACTGTATTTTGTTGTATCAAGAACAGATGGAGGATCAGTGTTGTGACCACTCACAAGTGCAGTTTGCAGAGCATGATTGATTTCAGAAGTTTAACAGGATCATATTTGTTTTGACTAGTAGTGACAGCTAGTTATGAAACACCCATTATGACTGAAGATGTGGGGAAGAAGTCCTTATTTTACACGCTGGCTTTCCATGTGTAACATTAAGAAATTTATTTTTCCAGTGCTTTTTGTCACCATGGTGAAGTCCTCATTATAATCCATATCTGCTCTATATGGTTTTATGATGTTTACCTGTTTTACTTTGAAGTATATCGATTTGCTTGGATTGAAATGACTTGACAACTTTCATCTTCTAAAAAAAAATCTGTTCCATGTAATTAGTTGCTTAATTTGTTTTAGTTTACTTGCTAAACCATTCTCAGGTTTATTTTTGCTTGCTCCTGTATAAAGAATAACATCAGACACATTAGATATAAAGGTGAATAGTACGCTTTGATTGCAGTTGTTTGTACAGCTTCTCATTATGGTGTGAGTACATTGAACTTTGTTACAACTATGTAAGATTTGAGGCTTTCACGGCGGTGACTATGAAGAAAGCAGTCTTCTGGGATTTAGCACCGTGTATACTGTTTGGTTACCCTGTTTTTACATATCTGTTAGAAGCCATTCTTTTTCTCAGTACATACTACATTTATCTTGTCATGACGCATGTGGGGTATATACCATCCTTCCAGTTCCTGAAATCAGTAACCATATGATTATTTCATCATCATACAATATTAAGTAGTACTCCAGTTCTGCATTTAATACTGATTCACTTCTGTAAAATCAGGATCTTAACTTTGCTTTCTTGTATCTTATTAGAATAATGTGTTGTACTTCACAGACTATAATGCATACTGTTGGCAGAGAGGTGAATCGGCTGTTCAACTTGTTCAGAAAACGTAATCCTACATTTGAAGGTGGTGTGTCATTAGGAGGACATAGTCTGGGATCCCTCATCTTATTTGACTTGCTGTGTCACCAGAAGCCAACTGAAGAACAGCTGGTGTGTGAGCCTGCTCCCCCTTCCAGAGATAGTTCAGCTGAGCGAGCATCTGTAGTATGTACTGGTTGTTGTGCATGTTAACTTCTTTCTCTCTTAAGAAGTTACTGAAGACATACACAATTGATAGTTTTCAGAAAAATAAATAAAAACTTTTAGGAAACATAAACATTAAATTAACTTGTTACTCTGTTGTTACCTTCATTATATATGAAATGAACACTAAGAAATACTAACAGGCTTTTTCAGAACCATTTGTGTTGATATTATGGTAGAAAGTAATCTGCTGCTTCACAACTATGTCTTCAGGGTTTGATTTCACCAATGCTACAAATAATTTTTCCAGTAACGTTTAAAGCCAGAAGGTTGCAGGTTCAATTCCCAGTGATTTCATTGGATTTTTCAATTGACCTAATCCTTCCAGTTGCACTGTGGTCCTGGGGTCAGCTCAGCCTCTAACAGAAATGAGCACCAGGAATCTTCCTGGGTGTAAAGGGTGGCTGGTCTATAAGACTGACAACCTCACCACCATCCGTGAGCTGACTGTTAGAGAATGTGGAAGCAACAACATACCACAGCCCTATGGGCCTCCATGACTTGTTACAGGGATGGCTTTACATTTACCTTTAGAGTTCTGAAATGAAACAAAATTTTATGTATATGAATCCATAAGTTTCTTGAACCGAATGGTAGCAAGCATTTCCGAAATTTATTTATTTCCAGAGGTATAAAAATTATTAATGTTGCTTTTCAGGATGGCGACAGTGGTGGCAGTGCTACAGCAAAAGTACCTCCTGCAGAACGTAAACTGAACCAGCGGGTCAGTTATGTAATGGGGACTGCAGGCACAGGACAGCCTTACATCACCTATCCACAGCTTAATTTCCAACCAAAAGCTTTTTTTGCTTTGGGCTCGCCAATTGGTAAGATTTTGAATTAAACTGTTAGAAAATAGGATGCAGTTCATGTGTTACAGCATCTGAAATTAAGCATTTTTTAATATTGTGACGTATTTGAGCTATGCAGGACGCCCCCTCCCCTGCCAGCGGGGGCGTAACAGCGCTGCCGCTGCTACGGTGATGGGGCAGTCAGCGCTCCCCCCAATCCCCCACGGTGATGTGGCAGGTGACAACAGTGACGTAGCGGGGGGTGCCGCGGTTGCTATGCAGCAATAAACACCTCTCGATAGCATTCCCAGCAACACCCGTAAACATGGCGACTAGGCAACAAGGAAGCGAGGCGTTTTCCCATTGTCTGGCTGAAGGTTTATAAGAGAACTACACTGTCGAAGGAGTCAGTTGAAATATAGCAGCAGTCGTGGAAAGAAGACCCAAATGCGTGGTTGGAAGATATTATGTGATAGTGTGCGATAACTGAGAAGTCAGCCAGTGAAGACTTATTGTGTGACTTCAAGACTTTGTGTGTGCTGTAGTACAGTTATATTGGGAGTGTGTAATTCACAGAGACCAGTATAGGTCCCGCGTTATAAATACGTGAAGACTACTGAGGATAAAGTGAATAGAATAGTGTGCAGGGTTTGTAAATTGTGTAAACCTGCAACAGTGTTATAATTAATTGTAGCTACAACTTTTAGGTTGTTAAATAAACCAATTAACAATCTGAACGGCGTCTCTAATAGCAAAACACTTTACAATATTTAATTTGGATATTGATTCATAAACATTCTCCTACCATGTTATTTTCTGATGTTGATTTTAGGGTATTTGATTATTTTATGACTATGTCAACTTCTGCGGTTATATACCTTTGAATAAGATATTGTGACATATTTTCTCTATGCAAGAACTGTTGAGCCACAGAGGCCTCGGGGCACACACACAATGTGAGTTGCAGATTGTATCGGCGCATTGCTAGGCGACAACTCTGTGAATGTTTAGATTGCGCAAAAGGAAGTGTGAGTGACGTCGCATATCCCCACTCATCCTGTAACTATGCAACACTTGGTAAACACCCCTCCCCGCTAGGCTGTGACATCACACAACAGGGGAGTCTGTGCAGAGACTATTGCTAGGCAATCGGTAAACACGACAATTACCCAAAAGGGAAGTGAGATGTGGTTTCCGCTGTCTTTCTGAGGGTTTATAAGAGAAACTGGAATGCCTAAGGAGTTCAGTGGAAGTCTAGCAGTTGCCAAGTTCAGTTGTAGCGAGTGAATTGTGAACATGAAGAAGACGTTATAAGCTCAGTTGAAGTATGGCAGCCATGGAAGAAGAAGAACCGAATGCATGATTAGAAGAGTATGTGTGATAATCAGTGATAGTTTGGGATAACTGAGAAGGCACTGTGTATTGGGAGTGTGTAATTCAGTGACACTTGTATAACTCCCACGTTATAAATACGTGAAGACTACTGAAGATAGAGTGAAGAGATTATTGTGTAGAGTTTGTAAAGTGTGTGAACCCATAACAGTGTCATTATTAATTGTAGTTACGACTTGTAGGTTGTTAAATAAACTAATTAACAATCCGAACGACATCTTCAGTAGCCAAACACGTTACAATATATTGGGATGATTATAATCATGTAACCAGATACATCATCCATAATTATGGATGATGTATCTGGTTACATATGGAAATCATTTATGGCCTGTTTTAAAGCACCTTACGAAGTCAGCAAAAATTGTTAAGGACAACCATCAGGATACCTGGTCTGAATGAGGCTCAAATGCTGCATCATTGTCCCATAATTTGAAGTTGCTGTGTTTGTGAGTTACGTAGTAAGAAAGTTTTAGTTCGTTCAAACGTATGGGTATGTAAATACCATAGAATGTAAGGGGAAATGGCCCTGGCCATAGGAGAAGATAGAGTAAGGTCTAGACAGGCGGCCTCCGTAGTCTAGAGGTAACGTTCCCACCTCATGACTCGTAGTACGCGGGTTCAAATACCTGGCGGAGGTCATCGAATTTTTAAGGGCAGAAAAATTCAGGGAACAAGTCCTCCGGGAGGGACTTTAAGCTGTGGGTCCCGTGTCGTAGCTTTACGGCACCTTAAAGAACCTCATATCTCCCAAGGAGGTCACTGAGCCAAATTAACAGACGTTTCCCGCCCAACAGCAGTCTCTAATACCTCTGGTAGATGGGGGAAACATTATAGATACCTCTCAGCTAGTAGAGCCGGTCTCGCTGGCTGGGCGGGACTGATGGTAAGCACCAGTACCGGTAGGATATAGAGACTGGTAGAAATCATAGAGGGAAGCACAGTGGACCAATACAGGTCTAAGTGCATGGGGAAACCCACCCTCTCCAATAACTAACTAACTAAGGTTTAGACAGGTATTCTTGAGCTTCTCATTTTGAACCTCAGGTGAAACTATCACTGGGATTCAGTTTATTAGTGCAACATTTTTTTTAACAAATGAGTTATTTATTTACAGACAGACAGAGTCAAACATTCTACCTTTCAAGTTTTTGAACTTTCACAGCTACACATTCACTAGAGAATACCAAATGATTGGTAACAGGTGGATTTTGAATCAAACAATTTCCCTTCCTATATAGAAGCTGCAATAATATGACTTTATGCAAAAAACAAATACACCGATGGAATACCCATCTCCTGGTATGACCAGGACCATTATCTTTAACTACAAAAATGTGGAACATGTGTTCAGCAGCAAAGTTAAAACTAATTGAAATGTACCCTTTTACAAGAGTGAATGAGATAATCAGTCTGATTCATTAGAATATAGTTATGTCATTTTATTCCTGTTTCTGTTGAAGGGATGTTTGTTGCTGTGCGTGGGATTGAAACCCTGGGAGAAGATTTCCGGCTGCCAACGTGTCCTGGTTTCTTTAATATTTTTCATCCATTTGATCCTGTAGCTTACAGAATAGAGACTTTAGTTAATCCAGAATTAACAACTTTGAAACCAGTGTTAATACCTCATCACAAAGGAAGGAAGAGAATGCATCTTGGTAAGTAATCAAATTGTAACTTTCCCTGAACTTAAGCTGGCTGTAGTCAGAAGTAGACAGTATATTTAACCTTCTAATTGGATGGGACAGAATACACAGTATGAGTGTACATGTGGTTTTGATGAATTATCTCACAGTGTTTTCTTCCTGTGGTATCTTTGCTGAATTATGTGGTCAAGTTATCAAGCATAGTGCATCACAATATTTGTAGAAGAATGGGGGAACTGTATAATCAGATGTAGTTGTGTAAGACTCTTAGTACTCAAACAACAAACAAACTCCGTGATTTTAGTCTGCAAGCGAACTATACCGACTGAGCAACAGCCGCTTGTCAGCGAATTTGAGTGCCAACTTTTGCGGATAGAGGGTGTCATGTGGTCAGCGCAACGACTCCCCACTGCCGTTAATTTCCGTTTTCTAGACCGGAGCCGCCATTTCCTTGAAACAGCTCCTCAATTTTCATCACGAGGCTGAGTGGACCCCATTCCAGACCCACTACTTCTCAGAAAAAATTGGTAGCGCCAGGAATCGAACCCAGACCTCTGAATCTGTAGCCAGGAACTCTGACCACTAGACCACAGAGGTGGTCTTCTTATTACTCAACATTTATTTATTGTTGCATTACTAACTGCAGATATCTTTATACATAATAGTTCTTGTCACCATGTCAGAACATACTATGACCGGCTTTAACCAGTCATGTGGTTATGACATCATGAGATACTGCATAGCGTAGTGGCCATGACATCTGTAAACATCATGCATGTTTCTATCTACTCCAGTGTAGATATAATGCTAGTCAGCAATGGAAACTTGAACATTGCAGTTGCAAGATGTTCTAGCTACTTCAGAGTGTGACAGGGTTGATTGTTTGATAGAACATCATCATCATCATCATCATCATCATCAGTTAGTTGAATAGATGGTTACATCATCGTCAGAAAGTTACTAAAGTCTATTTTCAGCATACTTCCAGATACATACAAAAAAAAACACACTCCATGGTTTAAATCCGCAGCATAGTAGTCAGAATTCATGGCTACAGATCCAGAGGTCCTGGTTCGATTACCGGTGCTACCAGATTTTCTGAGAAGTAGTGGGTCTGAAACGAGGTCCACTCAGCCTCGTGAGGATAATTGAGGAGCTATTTCAAGGAAATAGCGGCTCTGGTCTAAAAAACCGAAATTAACGACCATGGGGATTTATTGCGCTGACCACACAACATCCTCTGTTCCAAAAAGTTGGTACTAACTTCAACAAGCAAAAGTTGCTCAATCAGTCCAGATACGTACACTGATGGGAAATCCGTACATGACTTTCCTTCCCTAAGGCTTCTGTACAAGGTGTGATGTACCCAGGTTCATAGACTGGATGGACTTAGGAAGCATTGTCACATGGTGAATTAAACAAATCAACATCGGTCCACTGCTTGTAACTGCTTTTGCAACTTCATAAACTTTCTTGTGAAAAGAATATTTGCAGGCACTTGTTTCAGTTTGATGATGTTTTACTGTGTTATTGAGAATGCAAACCAAGGATCCGAGTGCCAGATTTTGCACAGAAAAGCTAGAGATCCAGTTTGTATGATGTTTTAATGGTTTTAAGCAAGACGCAGAGAATGATGGCTATATACATATTACATTATACCATTACAGTGTATGACTATCAAGTTTGAGTGGAAGATTTGACATCCCAGCTGTCCACCTCCTTTCTTGTAGGGACACTGTCATTTTCCTGCTGCCAATTGAATCCCAATATAATTATATTTCATGGCTTTACCTTATTTATATATTTTCATTGTATTTTTTGAGAGGTTGACTCAAAGTTTGAGATATCTCAAAGTCAAAAGAAAGTCCGTCGAGTGTAACAATTTGTAGGTCACTTCTTTATCACTTCTGCCTTACATGTTTCGGTTTAATACAACCGTCATCAGAGGCACATAGTACAATCATGAAAACACTGTCGTTGTTTAAGATGTACACAGTTATGTTTGCTGCGTGGACGCTGCTACAATATGTCGACGTGTAAAAGCACAACANGATATCTCATAGAGCTAAACTGGACAGGAAATAGAAACAGAGATCTTGTATTGTGGAAAGAAAGCTGTCTAATTTCCTCCTGAAAGAAAGGGGTGGGAAAATTGTACAGTTCAGCTCAGAAGCCAGATGATTCGTTTCAAGAGGAAGTATCCTATAATGTACATAATTAATAATAGCTGTTCATTTAATACTTGAGTAGGACTAATTCGTATTTTGGTATGCATTGTTTCAGAACTGAAAGAGACCATGGCACGTGTAGGAGCAGATTTGAAGCAAAGATTAATGGAATCTGTGAGGAATACTTGGAATACTGTGTACCAGTTAGCAATGTTTCACCGCTCTGATGATCAGGCACTGGAGCAGGAAGTAGACAAAGTAATTCACAAACAGTAATCAAGAAATGTCATAGTTTAATTATTAACATTCTTACTTCATATTTGGAAATTTCTGGGTTCATCTCTACCTAAAGGTGGGCTATCTTGACTGAGGTTCTGCATGGTCTTCCATAGTACTCTAGGCAAATGCTAGATAATATCTTCAGATACACCACATCTGCTTTAATCCACATTTATTCCAATTCATCCTTCACACATCATTGTGTTGTTTTATGTGAGATAAGGTAGGCAGTTGAAAAATAATCATTAACCCTAGCAGAATATAGTAAAAATAAAACGGCCCTTCCATGCCAAATCTAATAAAATGTAGTGAAACCTTATTTAAAATTTAAATTCTCAAGCAGAAACTGACAGCACTACACACTATTATTTTAAATAAATCATCCCAAAGGTTAAATAAACCAAGAATCGGTTAAAAATTGAAAAAAATTCTTAGTCTTGAGCCCTTCTAACATCATTGATTAGTGTAAGAATGTCGCTTTCATCAGTTTTAAACAGAAACTGTTAGAGCAGATTATGAGGGCGTCACTCGAAGAAGAATCATTCCAGGAACACCATTCAGGATATGCTGTATGCATCCATTGCTTTCATGATATCATTTAATTTCACAGTTTTAAAATATATGTCTTTTTCATGTAAACAGACATATATTCAGAAAAAGAGATTATTTTGCTGTTCAAGAAACAAAAGCCCTTTGTGAAGGAAGAACATTTGTGGGGAGCTTACTGTCTCCTTTAAAGTTAATCCTGAAGTACCATATCAAAATAGAGTTACTCACATTTTAGAAGAACTTGCTGCCTCCTTCAGAGTCATTCCTGAAGTATGGCAGAAATGACAGAATTACTAATTTGTTGGAGTAACTTGCTACCTTCTTCAAGGTGGATTCTCATAAGCATTTGAAATTTCTTTACATTTTAACATGGTTCTGTATTTGGAAGACTGTACAGTGAATGTCAGTTGTCATTAAATCCTTGTCTGAAACAGTCTGTTGCAATAAATGACCATAAAGACTCTTTACTGACCTGTAAAACTACTACAGTTTGGAATGAAATCCAGTGTACTCCAAAATGTAATTCACCTTGTGACTCCTCCAACTAGAAGGTGTTTGTTTGCTTTGGATGACCACAGTTTTTATCTGCAGGTATTAGAAGAACAGTTACAGCAACAGAGTGAGACAGACAGTTGTCATTCTGGGGCGGATGGAGAGGCAGACCCGGACGTGTCTGTTGGACAGCTTAATGGTGGTCGGAGGATTGATTATGTCCTCCAGGAAGCACCACTCGAAAGCTTCAATGAGTACCTGTTTGTTTTGAAGACACATGTCTGCTACTGGTAACCTCCATGTTCATTGAGTAATTTTTTTAAATAGTTTGAAGTGAGGTAGCCTTGATACTGAATTGCAGTTGTTAGGACTTTTGTTTAACATGTGGGAGACCCCCAACTACATATCTTGGCATGGAAACTGAACACAGAGTGAAATGCTTTGTAGTTTTGTCCGGTCTTCTTGGAGAATACTAGCATAGCATGCTCAGAAAGGTGAAGCAACTTGTTCTGTTTCTGCCACTGAGATACTTTTCTTTGTCATGAAACCTGATATATCAGCTTTCAGAAATAAGTTGGTCATTGACATCTAATAAGAAATAAATGAGTTGTAAGCTTTCAGTCCATCTCAGTGCAAAAAGCAGTTACATGCTTTCCTCTTGACTGTAGTGAGCTGTAGAAGGAGGAAACTATATTTCTACTGTGAATGTGTTGAACTGATTGACATGGCATTTTATAATCAGAATATCAGACTACTGCTGTATACAGCACTTCTTGATAACAGCAACAAAAAGGCCGAAATCCTCCCTGTTTTTGTAGTTGATGGGAACATCAATCTTTCATTCTTTACATGTTTCGGTCTGAGAGACCATCTTCAGAAGGACATTATCAATACATACAGGCACTACTACACAGGAAGATGAATGTATACCGTGTCATTGTTTCGTTGTTTGAAGAACTCATCTTCATTTAGAGAGAAGTATAAAGGACATGAACCAAATTGGTTCTTACTTAATTACTTACTTACTCATGGAGCTGAGCCCTTCTGAAGGAGCTGCCAATTCTGCAGCTACTCAAGAATTTCTCAGCATTTTATGGAACCCAAAGGTTCATTACCATGTTCACAAGAGCCCTCCACTGGTCCCTATCCTGAGCCAGATCTATCCAATCCATACCATCCCATCCTATCTCTCTAAGATCCACTCTAATATTATCCACCCACCTACGCCTTGGTCTTCCCTGTGGTCTCTTTCATCTGGCTTTCCCACCAATATCCTATATGCATTCCTCGTCTCCCCCATTCATGCTACATGACCTGCCCACCTCATTCTCCTTGACTTGATCATTCTAGTTATACTTGGAGAAGAGTACAAGTTATGAAGCTCCTCATTATGCAGTTTTCTCCAACCTCCTGTCACTTCATCTCTCTTAGGTCCAAATATTCTTCTGAACACCCTGTTCTCAAACACCATCAGTCTCTGTTCATCCCTTAATGTCAGAGACCAAGTTTCACACCCATACAGACCCACAGGCAAAATTATAGTTTTGTATATTCTAATTTTTATGTTCTTGGACAACAGACGAGAAGACAAAAGGTTCTGGACTGAATGGTAGCAAATATTACCCGAGTTCAGTCGCCTCGTAATTTCCTCCTGAATCAGGTTTCAATCTGTTATCGTTGTCCCCAAATATCTGAATTGTGCCACATTTTCAAAATATCTGTTTCCTATCTTTATATCATGATTTTGCCCTGCATTTTGGTGACGAGACAGCAACATATACTTAATTTTCTCAGTGTTTACTTCTAGACCAACCTCCTTACTTGCGTCAATTAAAGTTTATGTGTTTTTCTTCATGGTATCTACATTGTCACCCAGTAGATTCACATCATCGGCATAGACCAACAGCTGATGTGTCCCATTTAATTGGTTCTAGATTAAAAAAAAAATTAAACTATACTTCGTAAATAGACTAATTATAATAATTTATAAATGTTTTAACAAATTCATGCACATCATAGTAATTATTAAAGGATAAAATAAAATTTTATATTTATGACATTGTAATAGTAGTTTCTGTATATTGATAATGTCCTTCTGAAGATGGTTGCTCTGACCAAAACATGTAAAGGATGAAAGATTAAAAAAAAAACATCAATCTCACTAGATGATGTTAATATTCTTTTATATTACACACAGATCCTTTTTTATATAACAAATTATTGCATCCAGCAGATGAAGGTGTATTACATCTTTACCAAAGCATGATCAGAACATCCCTTGCTGAATATCATAATTGAATGGCTAGTATGCCTGCTTTGTGTGTGAGGGGGTTTTAGTTTTGAACCTTAACCCAGAGAATGATTATCCCATTTGATGCTTTGTAGTTTTCCTTCAGTTGCTCCAGGCAAGTGTTATGAGAATACCTTAAAATAGGACACAGTTTCTTCCTTTCACATCATTCAGTATCATATCAGTGAATACAGTGGAGCCTGTTCAGTTGAAAATTCTAACAGAGCAAGAAAATAATCAAAAGCTCCCTTTTAAATGAAGCAGAAATGTATACTCCAGTTTTTAGTATTCACATTTTCTAAGTGCATGTTCATAATTTGCATATATAAATCTGCTTATTGATGAAGGTTTTCAGAAGTATATACGCACTGCACAGAGGCATAAGTTTTTTTCTTGTATTTTATTGAATATCACCAAGTCAAAAGAGGTCACAAATAAAAGTAATGGATGTTATTGATAATATCACATACTGTTCTTGGGGAATTAAATTGAGTTTTGTTTTGGCTTATGTTAGTTATGCTACATGCACAGGAACTAAATTTTAATGTAGATACAGTACAAAATTTCATTGAAATTTCTGAACTTCTGTTGACTAGTTCATAAATGTGCAAATGGGACGAATGGACAGGCATGATCTGTGTGTTGTGCATTCATTTTAAGCAGTTTGTATGCATATGAAGAGCACACGGAATGAACCTACATATTTTCAGTGTGTCTGTTTGTATCTCCCCCCCCCCCCCTCCCCTNATCTCTCTCATACCTGTCTTTGTCAGTTCATGTTTGTACCATGATTGGCTGTCTTGTGAGAATGCCTTCTCCATGCCTCTCTGTCCTCCCATAATACTCCTTTTGTATCTCTGTCCATACTATCCCTACTCCCATTTGTGTAACATCCCTCACTTGTGTTCACCATTGGTTGTTTGACATATCTCTCAAAGGAATCCAATTGTCTGTGTGTGACATCAGGATGAGCATGTCCATATTCTCATCAACTTTATGAGTACATATGACAGTCATTTATCTAATAGTCTGATGCCCTAGTAAAAATGTTGTGTAAATCTGCAAGTATTTGTGTTTCAGGGAATCAGAGGACACAATGCTGATGATCCTAAAGGAAGTGTATTCTACAATGGGGATTTCTGCTGACAATGAGGTTTTACAACAGAATATGCCTGCAACTTTTCCAGTATCAAGCTCTTCTTCATATTCTAATACGTTACCTGATGCCAGTGGTCCAGGGCTATCACACCATGTTGCAGAAAATAAGGAGACAGGACTGAGAGGTGTCCAACCTGATTGCTCCTTCATGTCAAGTCACATTGATTCATCCCCAGTTACAACATATGCTGTTGATCTGCAAAGTTCTGCGGCAATGGTGACACCATCATCTGGACCAACTGCATCCTCAATTCTTCCGAGCACTTCTGTAAGCAGTTACCAGCCACGAATGGGGATGGATCCAACAGCACCACCTACAGAAAACAAGAATTTGGGGCCACCACCAACATCTGGTTTTGTTAGGAAGTGAACAGAGTCCAGAAATATAAATTATTCTCCTATTTAGAGTTAATTAATTCTGTATTATATGTGGGGGGTTTGAATTATATGTATGTAAATAGAAACTGGACATGATAAAGAGTAACGGTAGTATGACAAATGTGGAATTGGTGAATATGTCACCCTTAAATTCTATATACAATTTTGAATTGTTTATGAGCTTCTTGGTGAAAATGGTGTGACTGGAAATGAAGTAATTTATGCTGTACATTTATAAACAGCTTTCTTGCTGATTGTTACTGAGAGAATGTCTACATTGTAGCATCATTCTGTTGTGTTATTTTTTATGGGATTTTCACACTGCTTTCTATGAAACAATTTATCAATTTCAGTGAATCTGGTAACAAAGTATTGCACTTTGACACCATCTTGTAATGAAGAAACCTCTTGAAACTTTTGGTAATATGGTGGTTGTATTTGTAGGTGGTTTTATAATTGAAAAACAGATTACAGATTCAGTTCACTTTAGCATATTCCCTTCATGATTTCCATAAATATTCAGCATTAATATTATATTTAAGCATCATGTTGCACTCTACACAATAAATGACATAAACTCTGTCCCAAGTGCAAACACGTAGTAAAGAATAGCAGCGGCACGCACACAGGAAGACTACGCAGAATAACACCTATACAGTGCGGAAACAAGAACTAGCCGCTGCAGCACTTTAGACATAGGGCGATTAACCCTAACAATTGTAAATTTTAAATTTTAAAATTTAGGGAAAAATTTTAAATTTTAAAATTTAGAGAAAAATTTTAAAGGATTTTAAAATTAGAACTAAAGATTTTATAGTGCCACTACAGGAAAATCCAAATTAACGGGTGTAAAATAATCTATAAACCAGACAGATATCAGCGAAGTAGATGTTGATAATAACAAAGAAAGGAACAATGTGTTTTTAAATGTTAAATTTTAAACTAAGTGCAGTGTAACAGCAACGTGAGTGTATACACCTGATGATGGCCGTTTGAGGCTGAAACATGTAGTGTAAAGGAGAGCAAGATCAAGGACATATAATATATTGTTTGCACTTGGGATGGAGTTTATGTCATTTATTCAGCATTAATTTTAAAAAATTAACAGTTTTGATCAGCTAACTGCAGAAAATTTGAAGTATACTGGATTTCTGCAAATGCTGTATTGTCTTACATTCAGCTATATAAAGTATCTTCAATTTAAAATGGAATGGATGTTCAGGAGCAGGCGTTGTGCAACATACGTTCAGTCTGAATTCTGAATTTACTTGACATATGCAGTCAGAAATACCTGTAATACAATATTTCCTTAATAAGGTGTTCAGAGAACCTATGGAAAGAAACTTCTAAATGGGAGAACTTTGTATAAGGGAACTTTAAATAGAGTACACATTAAGTCTTCTCAGCCTACTTTCAAAAGTCATTTCCTGGTAATGGATCTTAACAGTGGAGATTCTTCAGTGTCTGTGCTCACATTTTTTACTCCACAGCTGAACTGTCAGTTGAGCACTCTTGCAACTAACTTTTCTTCACAGTCTCCTGTACAGAGCTGAACTAAACTTATTGCTACAACTGTCCTGGTTATAACTTCTTGGCACAGACCACATAAAAACAATTTTTTTTTTTATTGTTATGTTCATGTCCATTGCTAGGGGAGTGTGTTTACTGAGCTGTTGCCCAGAAAACCATTGTTTATTGACCTATTTTGCAGTCTTTGCATAGCAACAGCTGTACACACTACAATATGATAAAACTTGCAAATTGTATATAATTCATTGCTGTTATTTTAATCATATTAGATGTGAGATTTGCTAAAGAAGTGTTATAAAATTAACTTCTAAAGAGGGAAAACATTTTATACGAGGACTTTATATGCTGGAAATTTTGACATTGTTCTAAGAGCGCTTTTGGTGCAAATTTAAAAACCAGACTTTTTATATGGGGAAACTTAGAGTCTGTAGTTCAAAATAATTGCCCTTATGATCTGGCAAAAGAATTGCAGAAGACTCTTTGATACAAAGAGAGTTAAGTATCTTTGTGAAAAAAGAAAACTCTGCAGAAAAATTAAGTTTATTACAGTTGCATGCATTTCTCAGCAGATGTCTTTTTCAAATGTTTTAAATATTTGGGTAGCTTGTTAACAGATGATGGAAGGTGTACTTGTGAAATTAAATCCAGGATTGCCATGGCAAAAGCTGCATTTAGCAAGAAGAAGAATCTTTTTACCAGCAAATTGGACTTAAATTTGAGGAAGAAACTAGTGAAATGCTACATTTGGAGCATAGCTCTGTATGGGGCTGAAACATGGACACTTAGGGCAGTAGATCAGAAACATCTGGAAAGTTTCGAAATGTGGTGTTGGAGAAGAATGGAGAAGATCAGTTGGACCGATTATGTGAGAAATGAAGAAGTGTTAATTAGAGTCAGTGAGCAGAGGAATATCCTACATGAAATAAGAAAACGGAAGGCTAACTGGATTGGTCATGTTTTACGCAGACACTGCCTCCTAAAAGAAGCTATCGAAGGAAAGATAGATGGGCGGATAGAAGTGACAAGAAGACGAGGAAGAAGACATAAGAAGATGCTGGATGACCTTGGGGACAGAAGAGGATACTGTCATTTGAAGGAGAAAGCTCTAGATCGCATTAAGTGGAGGAACTGTTTTGAAAGAGACTGTGGACCTGTCGTCTTGACAGATTACTGATAATGATGATGATGATGATGATGATGTCTTTTTCAAATAATTTGTTATATCTGCTGAAATTTGTTTCAATATATAGCTGTTAATCTCTTGCCAAGGCATCAATTTTTCATCTCAAAATTCATACCTTTATTCAAATCTTTTTACAGGGAAAGTATATAAAAGTTGTTAGCCTGTTATATATTACTTTTTTATTCAAAGAACATGTGCATCATAACAATAATCATTATATGGACATTATTTTCAAGAAGGTTCTGACTTATTTCAGTTTACTGTGTTCTGTAAGACTTCTTAAAATAAGTATATGTGTAAGCACCAAACTTACTGCATGATATGTCCGTTCCCTCATGTAATAAATCATTAATCTTTATACATGAAATGTCGATATTGTCAGAGATATTTACTATGTTTTCAAAGTTATTCACAGGTGAAATATATTTACCTTAAATATGCAGTAATAGCAACATAAAATTATCTGTTGGTTAGAAGTTGGTTCAGGTTACTAATAGTGTGAAAAGTAGTGACATGAACATTTATAAACAGCATGATACTTAAGCAATATTGACTCTACTGGGTTGTATTGCTGTGTAGTGGTGAAGGAAGTTTGATGTTCAGAGGAAACTGCCATATCCATTGTCAGAGTAAACATGACAGGAGCTTCGGAGAGAAGTGGTGGTGGTGGTTGTGATTCTCCTCCTCCTCCTCATCATCATCATCATCATCCTCCTTATCCTTCTTGACTGGGTTAGGTAACTTAATGCCTCACTATCCTCTTCCCAGCATCTCTTAGGTCTTCCTGTTACTCTTGATATATATGGCCACCCATCTTCACTTGTTTTATTCACATGGTCTGTCTCCTCTTGCAAGTACCATTCTCTTCCTCATTACTATCAGTGTTTAGTTTCTTGCATATTTATGTCAGGATTTCCTGCATATATGCAGCAAAGGATCATAAAAAGTTCTAATTTCTGCTGCTTGTGTTCCTCATATGTCTTTTCTATAGGAATCTGCTCTGAAAGTATAGGAGTCAATAGATATCCTAGAAATATCAGAAGCTTATTGCATTGGTATAGTGTTGCTACCTAGCAGACTATACTTTATGCATACCATCATGAGATTGCCACATCCTACATCAGTGAAAATGTTCCTGTAACTATTCCTATAGTAGTGGGAAGGTTTCTGCTTGCATGGCAGTTCTGTGTCTGTAAGTTGGGAGGTAGAAAGCCAGTGATCTGGTAGAAGTCTGGTTGGTTACACAGCATCCCATTTTATTCACTTGTCCCATGATAATTTTGGAAGCGTTACAGACTCTTGAGACTGCCATTAGTCTCATGTTTTGTTGAAGTGATGTGTCTCGCTCAAGAGCTAGACACTGGCAGTTTTGCTTGTGCTGCTGTGTTTCAGAAGTTCAGAAACAAAATTACCTGTCTGTTCCCACATCTGTCTGCACCTGGTACAATTAACCAGCAGTATTCCATGAAATGTAACTAAGAACATGATGTGTATAGCAATTAAATATGGTTGTATTTAATGAATTATTAAATGTTAACATGTCTCAGAAGCATGTGATATCACACCATACTATGTATGGAATTAACTTGGCTATATTTTTAAAATGAATTTTATTTTTTTGTATTAGTAAAATAATTTAAACCAATGATCATTTGTTATAATATTATTTGAGAATTTTTAACTTGTTCCTGGCCAACAAATTGATTGAACCAGATGTCCCAATGTCCCATAATCCTATATGACCAGTTTTGTGGTCTTCTATTATTTTTAATTTAATGTGCACATACAAAGATACAGCACTGCCATATGAGGTATTTGCCTTGAGCATAGAAGTCTTTCTGTAATACTGAACTGTGGAACTGCTTGGCAGTTACAAAATAAACTGTAATGCTAGGCTCGATAATACATATCAATTCACCATATTCCGAAAGCTGCATGTAATAAAAGGTAAAATTATCTGTGCTTATATAAGTGCCACACTGAAAATACGATCAAGGGTGACACCAAATTGCCATGCCTAGTTTGGCATTATCAACCAAATTATGCATTCACTCTACCTCATGTATCAGTGCAATAGGTAACAAATGAAGTGCACAGTCCTTCTTCACACTTCTCACCACCCTCTCAGGGATAATATCAATAAAGAATATTGGCAGGTGTCAGTTGTTTATGTAAGTTAAATTTCATGGATGCTTGTATGATGCACGTACAAATTTAGATAGTAAATATATGCTTAGAAGTAAATTGGGGAAATAGTGGGGTCAGAATACATGAGACAGCTCAGGGGTATCATGCCTAAAAGTAACACCATGGAACTAATTAAGTTTGATTCACCTTCCAGTTAAAATTCCTCTATATTTCTTGCAACACAATTCAGAATACTAGCTCCTATGAAGTAGATGAGTTCCACAGCTTGCACTTTTCAGATTTACCATTTACTTTAATTTAATCACTTAATAAACAAATTTGACACTTTATTATCTAATATAGTTATTAGGAATAACTTTAATGCAGTTTAATAATTCAAACTAAGAAATTTCTTTAAAAATTAGAATTGCAGAGTGTGCAGGTAACATATGCATATAGTCCAAAGATTTAACAAGAAGTTTCCCAGCTTGGATATGTCCTGTACCTTCACGTGGTATTTCAAAATTTCAAATTAATTTCACGTGTTGTGTATGTCACGCGACATTAATTTAGCCATGGAAGAATACATACTGCTCACCAGTTCCTGGAATTTTGACTGGAGTAACTGTCATTACTATTCTGGTGCTTTCATTCACAGAAACTTTTAATCCCAAATTCCCATTTGTTACCAGCTGAACTTGGGAGGCATAACATTTTGTAGCTATCCATAGACAGACTGATTACTGGTCCTTAACATTAGAGTTCTGTACTCCTTTCTGCTATACACACACACACTGCCATATTGCATGTATGA